GCTGAACACACAGCCCTGCAGAACTCCAAAAATATCGTTTCTCAACCCCATCTAAAACAGAATCTGTCTGCGATGCACAGGTCTTTATTTCTGCCCTTTGTTCCTTGCTGCTACCATGAGCTTTATGTACACTATTTATTTCTCTCTGGACTGCTGGCCGGTGAGTAGACTGTCTCAGACTGTCTAGAGAGCAGGAAGCAGATGGAAAATAAATACAGTTGAGGAGCTCTGGGGGCAAAGCTACAGACAGGACAAGAAAGCCAAGAAATAAACAAACAGGAAGGAGACTGATCAGAACTGCCTTTCATCCCTGGCTCTGATAGATAAGACTTAAACAGCAAGACATCGACTGGGCTCAGTTTCAAATTCTACCCAGCTTTTACTCTGGGGTAGTTTTTCCCTTTGAAAAAAATCTATCTCTGCATTTTTTTTTAAAGGATGATCAAAATAAGCTCTTAATAAGCGATTACAACTCATTTCAAATGCTATAGCCATTATTACATCAGAGGCGTATAATAACGCAAGAGGCAGAAATCAACTTCAGCCCAAACATTGCACGTGTATACAGTGCACATGTGTTAAAGGTAGAAACACTGACTTAGATGAATCTTACATGTATTGAAGCAGGGGCCCAAGTCTTGGAATGATTCTGAAGTGAATGGAAACCCTGACTGTACTGCCTTCATCATACTTCATGTGTCTACTGTTCCTCATTCTTCCCTTTCCTCTTGTCAAATCCAGCTTTAATGACAGAATCTAAAACCAGTCATTTACACCCCAGTGTTTTTTAGTCTGAGCCTCTGTTCCCTCATCTGCAAAATGAGAACAATACCAAAAATACCTTCTTCGGAGGATTACTATGAAGCTTGACTGTGGTAAATGTAAAGCTCTTGGAACAATGGCCAACACTAGCTAATATTAGTCCTTTCATTGTATGGTCAGAAATTGTTAACGTGGACATATATATGTTCCTTGATACTAAATAAATGAAATTTTAAAAGTAACTGTCTCAACAGAAAATAATAAATAATTTAAGAAACCTCTCATTTCTTAAGGTCACCATCTTTCTACAGAAGTCTCTCTCCGTGATCATTTTATACCATATACGACTATCTTGGTAACATTTTTTTAAGTATAGTGTTTCAAAGAATCTTCAGGGAAAAAATACATGTAGGACAAGAAAGTCTTTTAAATTTTAATATTTTTTTCCAATATAGGCAATTATCATCTGTTGTTACTCATCTAAAACCTCAATTCATTTAGTATATTCTGATTCGATGCACGCCTTACTTTCTATAAAATCTGTTTCAATCTCTATTATCAATTTTAAAATGTTATTGAAGAGGAAGTTTTTTGAGCAGAAGGAATGACATTCAATGAGTTAGCAAAGGGTGAAAATAGTTGACTTCATCTTAAAATAATGTTTACAACACTTCACAGCTACAGTGTGGCACAGTGGCCAACAAGAAGGAACCCATGCCTACTAGACAACGTTTTCTGGCTTTGGCAAGTCGTCTGTCTTACTGTCACTCTCGGCAATTCGACAAGATACACTTTGATCTTACCTCAACCCAGTGCATTTAAATGTCAAAGGTATCATAAGGATTGTAAGGGGAGAGGGGAAGGGTGAGAAACTCTTGAACCCCTACAATCGCCCAGTATAAGTGGCATCTTGCTTGGTCTTCACAAATAAGGCTAGCAGAAGGCAGAGATTAATTCTGACTTAAATTAACTGCATTTTCATTTTGCATTAAATATAAACTTGTTACAGTAAAAATAAATTTTCTTATATTTTAATTTGTGACTGTGAAAGAGCAAAGTCTGAGCAACAGCGCAATGAGTATTCCCTGCCTGAGGGTATTCCCTGCCTGAGGCTTTTACTGAACACTCAGGTCACCCATGGCTTCCCATCTCGTCCTTCAGGTCAAATCATAAAGCTTCTTTTTTTTTTTTTTTTTTTTTTTTTTTTTTTATTAACAGTTCAAGTTTACTAAGAAATTTTTTGTTACTAGTAACTTCTTTTAACACTTTCAGAGTTACAGTAAAACCCTAAGGAATTAAGGAATTAATTAGTGTTCAAAATTTCCAATCATATAAGTTGCAGTATGTTATTAGATTATTAAAGAAGTCTTTCAGTCTATAAAATACAAACTAATGATGCTAAATATTACACTGCACACAATGAGTGATTCTGTACATATAACTGAAGCTGGATGGAGGGTGGCAGCCATTCATAAGCCTTGTCCAAATCTGTACTATTGTGGATGGCTATTACATGATTCCGATTTTAGGAAATATTAATTGAAGTACAATCTCATTAAGGCGACTTGTAGGATTCCTCTTGAGTATGTTATGAATTTAGGATAGGAAGCCAACCAGAATTTTCAAATATTTGTCCTAATTAGAGGGGTTTTCCTCCCCTTGGTTCAGTAATTGCCAGGCACCTATTAGGAACCAAGCACAGTTCTACACGGTAGAGACAGAATGGTGAAAAACAGCCCTCCCTATGTGGAGGGTACACTGCAGTTGACATCAACTGTTTGTCCATCATTATACTTTTGTTTAAGTCCTGCCCATAACCTTCATGTATAAGCCTTCTCTCCTGGGTAGATGCCAATGATTCTGCTCTTGTGTCACATCTTGAGAATTGGGGCATTCAGAGCTCTGGTATAACCACTGACCATCTTTATAGAATACGTTTTCTCTCCTCTGTGAAACCTGATGTTTGTTAGTATAAAGAGTTCCCCTCCCAACTGGATCTTTACAAACACAGCATTTTATAGAACTTCTCTCCCATGAAGATTCCTTGATGTTTCCAAGTTCTTCAGGAACTTCCCACAACTACGAGCACAGACTTTCCAACAGAGATGAAGACGTGGATTATCTGGAGGCCATTCCTCACCTTCCAATCCTACAGGTTCCCTCCAGTGTGGACCCTCTGATGGTAAACAAGATGTGACCTCTGGCTGAAGCCCTTGCAACATATATCACATATGTAAGGCCTCTCTCCAGTGTGGACCCTCTGATGGGTGTGGAAATGTGAGGCCTGGCTGAAGCCCTTACCGCACTGCTGACACGTATAGGGTTTCTCTCCTGTGTGGACCCTCTGATGAGCACTGAGCCCGGCACTCCAGCTGAATTCTTTCCCACACTCCTCGCATTTGAACGGTTTCTCTCCAGTGTGAATTATCTGATGGACTTGGAGATTCGACCTCTGGCTGAAGGCCTTACCACATGTATCACATTTATATGGTTTCTCTCCCGTGTGGACTCTCTGATGGGCTTGAAGATGGGAGGCCTGACTGAATCGCTTTTGACATGCATCACATTTGAAGGGCTTTTCCCCCGCGTGGACACTCTGATGAGCTTGAAGATTCGAGGCCTGACTGAAGCCCTTCCCGCACTCCTCGCATTTATAGGGTTTCTCTCCTGTGTGGACCCTCTGATGGTTGTGAAGATTCAGGCTCCAATTGAAGCGCTTCCCACATACCTCACACTTGTAGGGTTTTTCTCCAGTGTGGACTCTCTGATGGGCTTGGAAATAGGAACTCTGGCTGAAGCCCTTCCCACACACACTGCATCGAAACGGCTTCTCTCCTGTGTGAACCCTCTGGTGGCTCTGGAAGCTTGAGGCCGAACTAAAACCCTTCCCACACTCCTCACATTTGTAGGGTTTCTCTCCCGTGTGGACGCGCTGGTGACTGTGAAGGTTGAAGCTCAGGCTGAAGCACTTGCCGCACTCCTCACACCTGTAGGGTTTCTCCTCAGTGTGGACGCGCTGGTGCGTGTGCAGATTTGAGCTACAGCTGAAGCGTTTCCCACAATCTGCACACTTGTATGGTTTCTCTCCAGTGTGGATTCTTTCGTGGGCCTGAAGGTGGGACCTCTGGGTGAAGCCCTTCCCGCACACCTCACACTTATACGGTTTCTCTCCCGTGTGGACTCTGCAGTGGATGTTGAGGTCTGTGCTACGACTGAAGCCCTTCCCGCAGCTCTCGCATCTGTAGGGCTTCTCTCCGGTGTGAATGGGCAGGTGGGCATACAGGTGTGAGGTCTGATTAAAGCTCTTCCCGCACTCATGGCATGAATAGGGCTTCTCCCCCGTGTGGACTCTCTGGTGAGTCTGCAGGTTTGAGCTCTGACTGAAGCCCTTCCCGCACTCGTGACACCAATAGCGTTTCTTCCCTGGGAGGACACCCTGTTGAATGCGACTAGCTGAGCTATAACCGCTGCCCTTCTCATGTGTCCTGTACGTAGGGGACTTCCTGCCCAAGTGTACCTGCTGATGAAGTTCAAGGCTGGTGTGGTCACTGAATCCTTTCTCACGTTCGTTACACTGGTAGGTTTTCGGTCCAGTTTGAATGATACTGCACGGGGCCAGAGGTGATGCCTTTAAGAGATCTCTACCACACTCTCTGTTGCCGTGAGCTTTCTCTCTTTTGTACACCGTGTCATCATCGAGGTGGGGGGAGATACAACTGAAAATATCAGCACATGGAACAAATATACAGAACTTGTTTTTCACTGGAGTCAGCTTACAACTTCTCTGATAATTCTGAGTCCCATTCAGATAGAATTTATTCCAGGAATTCTGAGCTCTCCCAGTTGGAAATTCTTGATTTTCAATAACATTAGAATGATCCTCTAGAAGAGTCATTAAACAGCTGTCTTCCACAGAAGCCTGAATGGACACTCCTGCAGGGGAATTATGTTGTTTGGGGGACTGAGAATTCTTTCCGTGAATACTTATCATGGAGTCCTGACTTTTGGTTAATTTGCTCACAATGTGTCTCTTGATGTGCCAGCATGCCATCTTGGTACGTCTCTTCTGCAAAGCTCAGATCAGAATATTTAACTACAAAGGACAGTCTATAGATTAACTGTCAAGGGTTTTGAGACTCTTAACCGCTTGATAAATGCTAATGAGACAGGTCGAGGAAGCTGCTGTTATTTGCTCACCAAACGTGAGGATTATTCTATCCACTCTGTGTAACCGCCTTAGGTCTCGTTATTTACAGAGGCTAGTTTCTCACTTGTATTGCCACTCTACATTGTCCTCCAAAAAACCATCATGTTTTAATTATAAAGTCTTGAGTTTTCAACCATCACTGCTGAGTCAATCTTTAGGGTCTGTGTTATGATCAGAGGGAAGGTAATCTGCCTAAAGCCTTGGATTTGGCTGGGAATCACCAGGCATCTCAAGGCTGTGAGTTGTAACACAGACATTTTAATAGCTACTTTAAGGAAAGATCAGCTAGGAAGCTGGGAAGAAAAACCAGGCTAAGGGGGAAGAGTAGGATGATGACTATCTTCTAAGCCTCAAATTAAATCCAGCAGTTGGGCCAAAGACCTTATAAGTACTTTAGAAGAGACTTGAGAAAACATAGACTTTGCAATTTCTTTGATTCCCATCTCTCTGACTCTAAACGTATTTGAAACACACTAAGAAAAATAAGCATTACAAGCATCCCTGTCCCAAGGAAATAAAAAAAGCCATGCTGCATTTACCCACCTTTTCACTGGGAGAAAGAAAATAAAGACTACTTTAATATGGGGCTACAAAATGTCCAGCTCCATCCCCACCTTGGTCTTGATTCATTCGGAGTTCCTGAGAGGGTCCTTGAACCTATATCTCCATCACATTCCCCCTGTACCTGAAAAAAAAGGTAATTAAAACAACTCTCTCATACCTCACAAGTCGTAAAGATTAGAGCATTGAACTTCAAAGATGAATGGCTCAATATAAATTCCAGCATTATTGTCAAGACATCAGTGTGAACTGCCAGATATGTGCTACTTAAGCAATTCCTACCTGTCAGCAGATCTAAACTAGGATGACCTTGATCTTCAGAGGGAAGGGCAGCAGTGCCTTGGACTGGGAAACACAATATCTCAGAGCCATTCCTTGTTATAATACCACTTAACTGTCCATACCGGCTAGTTCACCATAAAGATTAACTGCTACAATTTAATGCATACCTGCTACTCTCCCCCACCAGCCCCTGGACAAGAAATAAATATTTATCCTGCCCCTAAAATGTGCAAGGCTGTGCCTAGGGCTTGAGATACAGAAATTAAATAATATACTGTTCTTACCTCTTCAGAGCTCATGTTAAAATAGGTGACCAATGCATTCTCTGTGTCACCTAGGGAGAAGTGAGTCTGCTAAAGCTTAGAGCATCCCAAAGAAAGATCCTCCGCAAACAAAAACTACACAGCAACTTTGTAGCTGACTTCCATCAGCAATGACTGAATTTGCCACGTACTGTGACAAATTCAAATTTTGCCATTTTTTCCTGTTCTCAAATCGAAAAGATATCAGTGATATTTGAATCTACAACTGCTCCAAATTAGCACTGAAGCTATTTTTAAAGGGGCTAAGATGAAAGCTCCACCACTCTGCTCTCAGAATCAGCAAGCTCGAAGGGGTCCTTCAACCCGGAAGACAAATGCTCACACCACTGGCAGCTGACTAGCCTTGAGATGATTTTCAGCATGGCCAGGGGTACAGAGAACAGATTAGTGTGTGTGTGTGTGTGTGTGTGTGTGTGTGTGTGTGTGTGTGTGTGTGTGTGTGTGTGTGTGTACGCACACACCAGGGACAGGTAGCATGCCAAATTGCCCTACCCTGCCTTGGGTCCCTGCCTTCCTCCTATTTGGTGGTGAGTAAATGAATGACAAGTTTGGGTGCTGCCTCAGAAAACTCATCAGCCTCAGCCTAAGTCACTTGAAGCAGCTGTCCCAAGCCTGTTTTAAAGGTCACCAGGCCCTGACCTCCTTTAGAAACCTAATTCCAACATCTGACCCATTTACAGTTGGGAAAACCTTCCCTATGTGGAAACAGAGAATAACAGTTCTAGCTCATTTTCTAGTAATCTAGAGCTAATTGTTGTCACACCTTTAATTTTCCAACCTCTATCATGAGAGTCTGGCTTTCCTCAAAGGACATTTAATAATTGTTGGATTTCATTCTCCAAATTCCCTCCAGTTTTTTCCATGTGTCTTTTTAAAAATACAGATTTAAGCTAGCTAGGAGAATGTGAATATACATTTCCTCATCTATAAAATGAGACAAGATGATTCCTAGGGTTCCTTTTGCTGAGGATCTTAATTCTTGAGAAACTCTATACAATAGTCTAAAGCAGCAATCAGCAAACTTCTGTAAATTGCCAGAGAGTAAATATTTTAGGCTTTGTGGCCATAGGGTCTCTGTTGTAACAACTCAGTAGGGCCACTGTAGGGGAAAAACAGCCATAGACAGTACATAAGCAAGTGAGTGGAGCTGTGTTTCAATAAAGCTTTATTCACAAACTCAGGTGGCGACTGGATTTGGCCTGTAGGCCATAGTTTGCCAACCTCTTGTCTAAGTTAAAAAAAACAAGCTCCCATTCTGTATGTTCATACCACCCTTCCTGTCCCTGTGTTCAGGCTCAAATTTTCTGAAATGACCCACAACCATTCAGCAATCAGTGGACTTAAGAATTCCTCAACTGCCTGTGTATATAATACACACACGTGCACAGGGAAGGGGTAGAGAGCCAAACTTGGAAAGCAGCATGTCTTTTTGTTTCGTTTTTACATCAGTCCATTCCTGACTTTCAGGATGAGAAGAGGCCTACATTTTTGTTTACTGTGTTTTGTAATAAGACTCAATTTTTTAGTTGCCTGGGCCACATTTGTCAACAGCTATGACAATACAGTTAAGGAAGTTAAGGAAGAAACTTCCTCCTGCTTAAAGGACAGTCTGCAGACCAAGAGCCTCAGCATCATATGAGAGCATGTTAGAGATGCTGAATCTTGGGACCCACCCCAGATCTACTGAATCAGGATCTGTATGTGAAATCAGACCCCAGGTGAACATTCCATTTGAGAAGCACCTTTGTATGTGATGTATTAGTCAAGGTCCTGGCAAGAAACGGTCATTAACCACAGGTGGAACAAAAAGAGAGGTGTGGCCAGGATGAGGTGAACACACAGGGATGCAGAGGAACCTCTGGGCTAGCAGCAGCTGTAGCCATTACAATCCCTGGGGCTGAGGGGGACACGAAGGAGAGAGAGTGATGCTTGAACCCAGTTTGTACTAGAACTGTCGAGGAGAGGCTGCCTGGTAGAGCTGTCTCCAAAGAGGAAACAGCAACTTCTAGAGACACATCACTAAAGCAGGGACAGAATAAAGACTACCCCAGCCTCTCTTTCCTCCTGCCACCCACCCTCTTGCTGGTACCTCCTATAGGCCAAACCCAACCAGGAGACAGAGTGCAAGGAAGCCCAGAAGGGGCGGTCCTCAAGGGCCAGCCTCCCAGGACACAGAGCAGAGAATGAGGGACAGCGGGAGAGAAGAACCACGACAGCCAGATAGCACTTCCAGTTGGGGTTCACTTCCCCCCGGGGCTCTAAGCTGGTGTCCCACCGGCTGGTGGCTTCCATCTGCCCTTGTCTCCTTCACATGTAGCTCCATGTCATTGGTTGACACTGGAATGTTGGCTTTTCCTTTTATTCAGAATTCAAAATTTCTCAACTTCTATTACTGTCCAAATTTTAAAAAACGATATATCTCCATATACCACCTCAAGAAAACCATACCTCAAAACCGCTTCTTTTTTACTGTCATCCCCACATCCCAATAAAATTAAAACATGCCTGTTTTATGCCATCGAAGCACCCAGTCTGTGGGAAGGACCGCCTGCCTTCGCCAGCAAGGAGTTTGGCTCAGAAAGCCAACTTCCCTCTCTCTTCTACTTGCAGCAAATTCCCAGAGATGGTTTCCAAACATGACTTCCCTTTCTTTCCTGACAGGTACAGTGGATCAAGTTATTTCTTAGCAAAACATAAGAACCGACAGTGTTGAAAAGCGTGAAAGAGGAGGCAATAAACAGACACATAATGAAGAGTCTGCCTCTTAGTCACCCTGTCCTTAGGCAAATAACTTACTCGAGCTTTAATATGTAGAATGGAGATACTATATATATATTGCAGATAACAATAGTACCTACCCTACACATTCGAAAAGAAGAAAACAGCAGTGCAGTATAAGGTTAACATGAGATGATGCAGAAAAAGCACTTAGCTGGCCTAATAGCTGTAATTACTATTACTTCTGTTAACACTGAGCAACATTTCAAATGCTACCAGAAGAGTCTTTGCATCACCCAAACCCAACCTCCACTTCTGGATTATTGGGAAAGGGCCCATCAAATATGTAATCTTTACTCAGGGAACAGCGTGTCTCCCCCTTTTTCTATCACGCCAATCTGAGTCATGTGGACAACCTAGAAAGAAACCACAGGACGCTCCTCTTCTCACTTCTGGGTCTGATAACAGCCCTGGGGAGAGCGCTCCCTTCATCCTAGCCTTCCAGCCTCATCCA